TCGGTTTTTTTAAAGAGTATTTAGGTTTTACAATAGGAGAAGTCAATATTCATCTATCCATCTTCATACAAGCTAGAGGTGTTTTTAGTACAAGAATAGCCTTTATTCTACATTTGGACAACTATTTGGTTTCTGGCCAATTTGATGCAGACATAATCATTTCATATGTTACACATATCTATTGGCTGTCAAACAAATTACTTAAACTCTTTGATAGAGTCATTCACTATTGTAAGTGGAATGCAAGTGTTTTTTTTTTCTCTTATGGCTCCATATGTATTGATAGGTACATAAATGCATGTATATACTCAATTGGTTAAGTGACAATTGTAGTTTCTACCTGAATGTCATTAAGTGACATCAATTGAATATGTTAGTCAATGCACAATTGCACATATGAAATTATGTGCATTGGAACGGCAAGCTTAGAGCTAATTAAAAACAGAACTCAAAAGAGTAGCCAAGAAATACCAATACCAGCTGCAAACCCACAAGCTTCGACTAGACCCAATCACAGAATTAAGCAGCAGACCCGGGAAAGGGAGCAATAAAGCAAAAACCTCAAAAAAGTAGCATAAAAATGCCAACAGACCACGAATCTTCAAAGTTTTTAACTCGATATTATGCCGACTCAAGGAAACGACTAAGAACAATTAAGAAACAATACTCATCACGCTAAGACATCATCAACCCAACAACAAACTAAAGCAAACAACCACAGAATGAGGATTTTATAACATCAGAAGACAACACATCGAGATAGAAGAAGATACAAAGAGAAACGCCACCTGACAACTACTCAATAACCCATCATCCTGACAACTGCTCAATAACCATTTCATTTCAATCTGATTTCTACAAGTTTTGATTGTCAAAATCTCACATGATCAGCAGGAGCAAATATCTTATAAAAAATAAGTCTATTTAACATTGAAAATTAAAAACACAACACTTCACATTATGTTTGTAAAATATCCTCTTAAAAACCCAACAAAAGAACTGCAAAGCTACTCCAATAATCTTCAACTACCATGATCCAGCTGCATATTTTCTTCATCCAAACTAATATATACTCAAAAGGTCACCTAGACATGCATTCTGAAAGAAAGAAAATTATCAGCACGTGAACAAGTAACTAGCCTTTTAAATTAACTTTGTTAGATAATAAAGAACTATAAAACGCCATTTCAATAAAGGGAAAGGAAATACCTATATATCAAAAGATTTGCAAAAAGCTATTTCATTAAACTAATCGATACTCAAAGGAGCACCTGGACATTTTGAAAGGAAAAGAATTATTAGCACATAAATGAGTAATTAGATATTGAATCATTTGTCAACTCAACTTTATTAGATCGCAACTAGCATAAAGTTGTTTTCAAAGTAGAAAATTAATATCAAAGATGGAGAATTAAGAATTAAATTAGTAAATTACCTTTTTCAACTTCTTCAATTTTCTGAACTTCCTCCAAATAATCTTGAACCTTCCATTCTTTAGAAGGTGACCGTATCCATTGTTGAGTGCAAATAAGAGCTTCTACTGTCTTTGGTGATAAAGAACTTCGATATGAATCAAGAATACGACCACCTGTACTGAAGGCTGATTCAGATGCAACAGTGGACACGGGAATAGAAAGAACATCCCTTGCCATTTTTGAAATAGTTGGATATCTATTCGATGAAGCTTTCCACCGAGTCAAGATATTAAAATCTTTTGGCTTCTCTACATTATCCATCAAATATTGATCAAGCTCAGATTTTTTTTCAATGTTTTCCTCATTTTCTAAATGTTTCTCCCATTGAGAATGCAATATATCATCAACTTCACCCATCATGTTAGTGTCACCTCCAATGTTATTTGTAAAAGTTTCAGTCGAAGAATAATTATAGTGATTATACAAACGTTTCAAGACACCTTCCACATTATCTGCCTTTAATTTTCCCAATAAGAAGCCATATGATTTGCTAAGAATAAAATTGACATATCGCATCTTATACCTAGGATCCAACACAATAGCAATGAACAACAATATGTTCAAATTCTCAGGTTTCTCAATATTCTCCCAATATTTATCAAACTTAACCTTCATCCTTCCAGCCATATCAATCAAAATAAGATCTTCACTACAAGAGTACTTCAATATAGAACTTCGAACATTAAAAAATTCATGGAAGAATATATTAGAAGTAACATATAAGCTCCCTGAAAATTTTAAAGTAGACTGATAGAAGATTTTAAGAAACTTTATAAAACCTTTCACAAGCTGCCAATCATTTGTAGTTGGATGTCCTTTCAATTCACTTTGAAGACAATACTTTCGATAGTTATGATCATCCACGTACATTCTTGCAAAGGCCTTTTCAAAATTTACAGCAGTTTCTAACATTGTATATGTAGAATTCCACCTAGTTTCAACATCAAGACTTAATAGACCATGGGTGTCTAGCTTAGTCTTCTCAACATATGACTTGAAAGAGGCAAACCTAGAAGCAGAAGACTTGACATATTTCACTGCATTCCTTATGCGAGAAATTGGCTCAATTTGTTCATCTAAACCTTCTTTTACAATTATGTTCAAAATATGAGCATTACATCTAACATGTAAAAATTCATTTCTCAATATGACCCCTTTCCAATCATCAATACGTGCCTTCAAATGCTTAATGGCAGCATCATTGGCAGATGCATTATCTAGAGTCACTGTAAACAAGTTTTCAATTTCCCAATCCAACAAACGTGCTTCAATACCTTTAGCTATAGTCTCACCTTTGTGATCCGGAGTTTGGAAAAAATTAAGAATTTTTTTCTGTAAGTTCCATTCATCATCAATCCAATAAGCAGTCACGACCATATAAGTCAAATTTTGAAGTGATGTCCATGTATCACTAGTAATACATATATGTTGATTCTTGACAAGTTTTTTAAGCTTCTCTTTCTCTTCTTGATAGATCTTCAAACAATGTCTAGCCACAGTTACCCGTGAAGGTAATTCAAAATTAGGCAAAGCTTTGGCCATCAATTTTTTAAAACCTTCCCCTTCAACAACTTTAAATGGTTGTTCATCAATAATGACAAATTCAGCGATGGCTCTCCTGATATCCTCCACATTGTACACAACCTTTTCTATAGAACTTGTTCCATTTTCTTGTCCCCCTACTTTGATTGGGACAGATTTCAAAGTTGTTTGCCTTTTATCAACAAATCTAAAGGGAGATTTGAGACATTTGTCATTTAAATGTGACCACAATACAGAGGTTCCATTTGTTTTTGTCTCAGCAGCAAAGTGTTTTACACAATAGTTACATTTTGCTCTTTGTTTACCTCCTTTAGCAATAAATTTAACAAAGTGATCCCAAATCTGTGACGTTTCTCTCCCATTATTACCATTTGTAGGAATGGAATCTATTGGGGTTGTTCTTTTTTGCTTTTTAGGAGGAGTGCGGAGATGAGGAGTGCTTTTACCTTTCTTTTGAGGTATTGATACAACTGGAGGACTGTCGATAATCATTTCTACATCAATTCCAACCGTATTCTCCATCTAAGGAAGCAAAACACAAAAAAATAAAACTTGTAGCAGCAGTCAACAACGATTCAAAATAAAGTTACTCATTTGCAAGAAAAAGTAAGTGACGAACTTCATTGATAAATTTACATTTGCAAGAAAAAGAAAAAGAAAAATATACCTGACTATCTACAGACGAGTGGATGAATGAGAAGAATGAGCAAATGAAGATTGAGCAGCTCTTTGGAAAGTGGAAAGATTGCAAAGTGGAAAGTGAGAAATGAGAATATGACTAGTTTCTAGAGTTTTAACTTTTAGGTTTATATTGGGCTTGGATCATTTCACCAATTACAAGTTATAAGCCCAAATCTGAATATATATCTAATTTGTACATATTGAAAATTAATAAAACTAATTTTAAAATATTTACAAAATAGATTATATAAATATTTTTATGTATAAAAAGTTAAAATTATATATGTATTATGTCGGTTTGGGTTGGATTCGGTTTGACTTTTTTTTTATTAATACCAAACCAAACCAAGAATGGTCGGTTTTTTTTTTCAACGCCAAACCAATCAAACCAAACCATAAGTCGGTTTTTTTTCTCGGTTTGACTTGGTTCATCGGTTCGGTTTGACTTTATGGTTCGGTTTGTACACCCCTACTAATGGTATCAAGTATTGAATTCAAAGTCTATTATCATTGTTGTTTATTTTTTTCCTCTTATTAAAATATATTAAAAAGATATTGAATTTCAAATATTAAAAATTTATTCAAATTAATTTTTGTGTTATTATATAAATTATAGTAGTAATACAATTTGAATTCAGTATTATACACTGTTATAAATTCGATTATTGTTATTCCAAAAAATATAATAAATTTTAACAAAGTAAAATTAATTTAAATTGAACCGAATTTATTTGAAATTCACACATAATACTTATAATACATTTGTATTAAAAATGTTTTAGTTAAATATTCAACACATGCATTGAAACATGCCTATAACATTTATTATATATTGAATTCAAATATATTACAATTGTTATTTTTTTCTCTTATTAACAATGTTAAAACATATTATTGTATTAAAAATATTTTAGTTATATATTCACAATGTGCATTGAAAAATTCATATAAAATGTATAATGTATTGAATTCAAAATGTATTACAAGTATAATTTTCATTTATTAATGATGTCCATATTTTTTTAAAATAAAATGTTAATCTTTTATTTTTTTTAAAAAAAAAAGAGAGAGAGAAAATATGTCATAATTCGTAAATAAAATATATAATACTGTATACTATTATTTAGGTAAATTGCCCAATTAGCTATCACTGCGTCTTGTACCTCTAAACAAACCTAAATCCCATATCTGGTAACCGGTTAAAATTCCTAATAATGAATTAAAAATAATTTAATAGAGAAATTCTCATAAAAGTGAGAAACATACAAAACGGAATGGTAAGAAGCAGAAGTTAATCAAGCAGTGTGATATAGTTTTAGGGGAACCCTCTGTTTCTTGAGGAAAAGAAATGGAGGCAATTGCTGGGGGATCTCACAAGCGCAATGACTTGGTTCGGATTCGGCATGATTCTGATTGTGGGGTATGCTTCTTCAATTCTCTGCTTTATTACTCCTAATTCCTTTTTTACTTTTCTGTTCTTAATTCAATAGAGGTGTTTAGATCTGATTGTTGATAATGTGATTGTGAGATTTCTGATAAAGTTTTTATCTTTTCATCAATTTGGACTTCAAAGTGTTCCATTACTTCTTAAACTATTAGGGCTTGTAATTTGGTGGTTCAAGTAGAGTGACTGAGTTACACCAAGACTGGTTTTTTCCAATGAATTTGGAAGTTTATTGATGTTACTTTTGTTTCCGATTTGATTCCTTCATATGCTTCAATCTATTGCTTTTCATTTGAGATGTGAATTTTGATAAGAAAAAAAACAGCTTCGTATATATATATATATATATATATCTGTAAGTGAAAAGACGATAGAGAAGAGACAGGCAGTATAAGAGCAAAGAAATCTATCGACTAGTGGATAAAAAAGCAAAAGCACATAGCAAAACTTTAGTTAAAATTTAGGAATTATCTCACAAGATTTTCTCCTAAAAACTCGACAACAACCTACTTTAGAACTACTTTCTAAAGACTAGGACAAACTAAATATTCACACATTTCATTTTCTAATGTCTTCCCTTAAATTGAAAGCTTTCAAGCTTCAGCTTATCTTCAATTTCTTTACTTCTTCCATGGTGTAAAGTCCTAATGACATTCTCAGGCTTTGGAGTGAAAGTAACTAGAGAGGTTTTGTGAAAATATCCACTAGTTGGTCTTCACTTCAGCAATATTTTAACTCTATTGTTCCTTCATTGTTGAGATCTTGCAGAAAATAATACTTTACATCAATATGCTTGCTTCTTCCATGTAACACAATTTTTTTTTGATAGCTTGATGGCAGAGCTGTTGTTGCTGAAAATTGTAGTTCCTCTTTTTTTGTTTGAATTGTAGTTCTTCAAGAGTTGTTCTCAACCAAACAACTTGACAAGCACAAGCAGTAGCAGCAACAAATTCTGCTTCAGTACTCAATAAAGTGACAATTTTTTGCTTCCTGGAAGACCATGAAACAACTCCTGTTCCTTGCATAAAAACATAACCTGAATTGCTCTTTCTGTTGTTTTGATCTCTTGCATAATCACGGTCTGTAAAACTAAGCGAACTAGATTTCCCACCCTTCTCGTAGAACTAACCAAAATCCTTAGTTCCTTGTAAGTAGGGAAGGATTCTTTTGGCAGCTAGCAGGTGAATTTCTATCGAGTTCTCCATATATCTGCTTATAAGACTTACAACATACATGACGTCGGGCCTTGTAGCAGTAAGATACATCAGGCTACCTACAAATGGCCTGTAGAGTATGCTGTCTACCATATCTCCTCTTCCATCTTTGCTTAGCTTCAGGCCAAACTCAAACGGAGTATTGGCAGGATTGCAATTCTTCATCTTGAATTGGTCTAAAATTTCCCATGCATATTTCTTTTGGGAAACAAATATCCCATCATCTAATTGCACTACTTCTAAACCAAGAAAATAATGCATCTTACCAAGACCATACATCTCAAATTCATCCATCATAGACCTCTTGAAATCAGAAAACATGACACTATCATTTCCAGTAAATATATGATCATCAACATATAAACAAACAATGAGCATTCTCCCAGATTATCCTATTTTAACAAAAAAAGAGTGCTCATATGGACATTTGAGGAAACCAACTCTTAGAAAGTAAGCCTTTATGCGACTATACCAAGCTGGCGGAAAACAAACCTTTATGCGACTATACCAAGCTCGCGGAGTGTGTTTTAGTTCATAAAGAGCCTTTTTCAATTTGTATACCTTATGCTCATTTCCAATTTTAATTTAACCAAAAGGTTGTTCATATCTCTTCCTCCAAGTATCCATGTAGGAAAGCTGATTTGATATTCAACCGAAAGACATGCCACTAATTTTGTGCTGCCAAGGCGATTACCATTATAATGGTGTCATGCCTTGCAACTAGAGCAAAAACTTCAATGTAGTCCACACATACTCCTGGTTGTATCCCTTAGCTACCAATCGTGCCTTATACTTGTCAATTTCACCATTTTCTTTCAGTTTTGACTTGTAGACCGACTTGACACCAATTGTCTTGTGCCCCTTTGGAAGATTTGACCACTCCTCGATGCCATTTCTTTCAATAGCATCATTTTCGTCATTTATAACTTTTCTCCATTTCCCCTCTTTGACAACATTCTCAAAAGATGTAGGATCACTATCTGCAAACAATGTAATGTGAGAAACATCTTCATTAACATCAGTTCCTCTTACCTTATAATCCATCATCCACGCGGGCCTTCTGTGAGCATGACAAAGGGACTGATCCGTTGCATCAGTTTCTTCCAAAGCTGTTGGTAAAATTTCAACAGCTGCTAGAGTAGAAATTTCAGAAATTTCAAGTATTGCAACTACTTCATTATCTACTAAGATTGGAGTTGACTGCTGCATATTCCAGTCCCAAGTGCTCTCTTCATGAAAAACAACATCTTTGTTGGTCTCAATCTTCTTTGTTAATGGATTGAACATCTTGTACACCTTGGATGCTTCACTAACACCAGCAGAGACATCTCTGACCTCTATTATAAAGCTACATTCTTTTTACTTCTGGGATATGTGCATAAACAATGGACTCAAAATTTTTAAAGTGGTCTACTGCCGGTTTCCTTCCGCTCCAAGCTTCCTTAGATGTAGCATCTCGAAGAGCAAAAGTGGGACTTCTATTCAAGATGTGAATGCTCCAATTCACTGCTACCGACCAAAATTGCTTTGGAACTCTTCCTCGAGCCAGCAAGCTACGAACTATGTTGAGAATGGTTCTATTTTTCCTCCCTGCCACACCGTTTTGTTATAGTGTATATGCTGTTTTCAGCACTTTCCAAATGCCACGAGTCTCACAAAAATCATCAAATACCTTAGAGAAGTATTCTCTTCGCGATCTGTTCGAAGGTTCTTAATAGTCCTTCCAGTTTCATTCTCCTCACGAGCTTTGAAGCTTTTAAAAATACATTAGAAGTCTTAGTCTTTTCCTATAAAGTATACACTCAAGTTTTCCTGGAATAATCGCCAATAAAAGTGATAAAATATTTTTTACCTCCATTAGTGATTGGATTTATTGGCCCACAAATATCAGTCACCAGCCTCAATACCTCCTTGGCTTTCCGTGACTAACTTTTAGGAAACTAAGAATGATGTTGTTTGCCAACAACACATTCTTCACAAACTTGGGAGGGAACAACAATTTCAGGAAGCCCTGTCACCATACTCTTCTGTTGAAGGATCTTCAAGCCACCAAAATTCAAGTGACCATATCAAAAATGCCACAACCATGAAGGATTTTTTCACTTCCACCATAGAGAAAGATTGAACAAAATCTTCAAAGGGAACATGTTTCAACTCATTTTTAATATCTATAACTCCTCTAGATGGATCAGAAGTTTCACATGTGTCATTCCTTAAGGTGATCTAACAGTTGATCGGCACTCAATAAATTACATTTCAAAGCAGGAACATGGAACACATAAGATATGATTCAGCACACACATTCATGGTTCTAAAATATATATGTACCCTTTTCCATCACATTCACAATTAAGAGATCACTGGAACTAACTGCCGACCGGAAGCTTTTATTTAAATCAACAAAAGAAGACTTACTTCCAGTCATGTGGTTATTGCAACCGGTATCCACCTACCAAATAACTTGCTCGTCGAACTCGTTTTAGCATGAACCGCCATTAAAAAGGTATCTCCTTCCTTATTCTCAGCAAAATCTGACTTTTCTTCTTTCTCATTAGGCAACCTAGTACGACATTTAGAACGATAATGATCAAATTTATGGTAACGATAACATTCTACATTTGATTTGTCAAAATCTCTCCCTCCTGCTTTTGCCGTAGTCATCATTGGCTCTAAAATTCCTGATGCCATCTTTTCTGCACCCATCTCTGATTCCTTGATCTGAGATGCATTTTCTTTAGAATTACTTTTACGGACAAATATATTAATATGGTGGCACATGTTGGTTCTTCTGTTAGCAGTATGACAAAATTTGTTTTTGTCATTTTTAGGCAACAAATTCTTGTATCACAGACCATTGTTACATGCATAGACTGCTCGTTTTCTTCCTCAGTTGTTATCTTTTTAGTTGCTTTCCATCACTGTTTTTAGTTGTATGGAGAATGACTCTCAGAAAGGGCATAAAATTAAAGATATAGATCAGTTTCTTGAATCTGGGAAGAAGTAGTTTCCATTAGTGTTGGTTTGAAATACATGCCTTTGTGCATGCAGATACTATAATTTTCATGAATAAATTAACGTATCTGAACTTTCTACTCATTCTGTGTCATTATTCTCTTATAAGGATTGTTGTGACCGCTTTCAATTAGCCAAAATTTGACCAAAAACGATTTGAGTTGAGCCGAGCTAAAATATAGGGGGTTGAGCCCCAAGCCAGGTTGGTTCGTTGCGCAGACAACTGATATGATACTTGACATTACTATGGTACATATGCAATGCAGGATACCTAATGTTTATAGCTTTATCCTAGGAAGTTCATCTGTTGGTTGTTAATACGTTCCCACTTATAATGATGTCCTTGACACTACAGATGGATTCTGAAGCTAATGAAATGCAACATAAACAAGAACGCTTGAGAACAAGATGGACACCCTCCCTGGACAAGGTTTTTGCTGACCTTGTTGTTGAGCAGATTAAGCTGGGGAACCGTCCGAACAATGTCTTTGATAAGAAAACTTGGAATTATATACGTGATGAATTTAACAGACAGACAAATCTTCATTTCAATAACAACCAACTAAGAAAGCACCTTGATGTGTTGCGAACTCGTTATTACAACCTTAAATCTGCTTCTGATCAAAATGATGCTTTGGACGATTCTTGCTACATTGGTTTTGACCTATGGGAAGACATCGGGGTATTTCTGAGTCTCTCTTTCTATATATGCTTGTGTTTTCAATTCCCCCTCCCCCAATTTTCCTAACAGATTCATGGAAAACAGGCTCAGCCGAAGCCTGAATCGAGCAAAACCAAGGAGTGCCCTATCTATGAGCAGCTGTGCACAATATTTGCTGACTCGGGCGCTGATGGGAAGTATGCCCAATCAAGTCACTATGAAGGGCTGGACAAATCTGCTGGGATAGATATCTCATTTAAAGATAGTGGCAACTTGGCTCCTCCTTCATCATCAACTCCTTTAAACACTGCTGCTACTTTACAACAAACTACAACAAGGACTGTAGCTGGTAAAAAGAGAAAGTGTCCATCAGATATAGTTCCTGCTTCAGGCCAGAACTGTGGGGATAGAGAGATAATTGATGCTATGTCAGAAGCAATGGGGGAGATGATTGCTGCTTCAAAGTTTCAGACAGTTGTAATGCCTCAAGTTGATGGTAGATTTACAATCCGTAAATGTATCAAAGCTTTGGATGAGATAGAAGGCGTTCCAGAAAATCTTTACTATGCAGCTTTGGATTTATTTGACAATCCCAGTCTACGGGAGATGTTCATTTGTCTTAACAGCAGCAGCATGAAGCTGACATGGCTGCAGGGGAAATGTACTAATCTTTCTTCATTTATCTAGCCTTTCCCCCTGGTTTACAACTTTAGTGGTAGTACCCATTTTATCTAGCGATTTTTTTTTGGAAACTGTATACATAAATTCCTATGGCCTGCTTGTAGTTACCAGCATGGGACAGGTAAATAGAATACAGTTAAGGTAGCAGCATGCATTTGGAGTTTTGGTAAGGCATTGGTGGAAACTAAAGCTTTACATGTTCATAGAGCCGCTTAGCAGGTTAGCGATTCTATTTTCTCTTGCAAAGAATGTTTTGAATGGAAGACATTTCTACTTTGAATGATATGTTGGCAACTACACATTTCATTTCATTCATTACAAAGGGTACATGTTTTAAAGTTATTTCTTCTATTTTAAAATTCAAGCTTTATATGATTGCAGGAGTGTCCGTCATGGCACCATTAAAAGTTTGTCTTATGAATTGGTGCATAACAACTGTTACTCCAATTTGAATCAAACCTGTCTGATGTTGTCCCATAACTTGAAGAGGCAGCATTCCATATTGGAAACTATTTATCATGTCATCAATCAGTGAGGATTTTCTAGTCCATGTGGAAATATGTATTGAATATCCTCGGGATTTCCATAGCGGACTGGAATGTGGAAATACGTATGGATTATTCTCGCCATTTCCATAGCAGGGCTCTTTCTCCCAACTTTAGTATTGATTTTCTTATGTTTACATGTGTGTATCATCTTCAAAAATTCATTTTCAGCTTCAATAGATGACTTAGGTTTTAGCTTGGTCATCATGTGGTAAGTCGTTCCCTCCTTTTTTTTCTGTCTGTCTGTTAAGTAAAGCCATATTCAATAAAATCGGGATGTAAAGGAAAAACATAAGACAAACAACAAACAAAAACCATCTTAGCTAAATTTTCGCGATCTCTTTCCTTAATATATTTACGTTGTGTTAGTGGACCACCGGGATTAGAAGGATCTAATGTTCCTTGAACCATGTTCGAAGCCCCTACCGATTGATTAACATTAATATCAACATCATTAACTTGAATTCCTTTTTTTTTTTTAATCGGCTAAAGCTTTGGCTGTTTTATATTCAATAAGCATACAAGATAATAAATGTCTATTTATGCCCCCGTCCCACCGTGACCTCCACCTTGTTTATGTCTAAAGTGTTGCTTACACTTATTACAAATAGCAATAGAGTTTTCCTTATCTAAAGTCATAAATTGCCACACAACAGAAGTTTTAGGGCGTTGATACTTCACCTTCTCCCTTGTAGGAGGTACAAGGGGGGGGGGGGGTTCACAATTTTGCTCCGTTGGATTTGTAGTTTCAGTTGGAACTTCCATCAGCGGACTAGTAGGTGTTTATTCTAATTCATCTTCTTATGAATCACCTTCTACTTATCTTCACGATTAGGATTCATATTACCATAATGTCGTTCTAAAACTTCATGATCAAGTTCAACATTTGAATCAATATCAAAATGAGGAGTGAAGAAGTATCATCAACATAAGTAGAATCATTTGTATTAAATCTAACTCTAGGTATTGATTTAAGGTTTGAATAATCAAAGATATTTCTTATCTGCAGTATTTATGTAAATACTCTTCACGTAATAACCAAGTTGTTGAGTGTTGCTCCATTTTCTGGTTAATTTGAAGGAGACAATAAAGTTTGCTTATTTGCATCCTACCAAAATTGTAGGCAAATGGAATGTAACAAAGATGAAGTTGTTAAGGCCAAATAAATTGGTGAGCAGAAATTAAACTAGAAGGACATTGTTGGAGCTCAAAAATTTGCTTTGAAGGCTCAAATTAGGTTTCTAGCCTCTGATGGTAATTCTCAGTTCCGGTAGATTATCAATGTTTATGTTGCTCATGAGAAGAAGAAGACTAATGTGGAAGTGGATTTTTCTGGTGTTCTTTCTGTAGTGTAGAACCCTCAACTGATGATGAAACAATAATAAAATATTACACAAGGCTTTCTCAAGCTCTTAACCTGATATAAATCAATTTGTTGGGAACAGATGCCGGACTCTTAAGAATATATCTAAAGCTTTGAGTTTGTTGTTTGATAGAACCAAAAGAATGATGTAGGAAAATAAATATGGATCTTCTGCTTCCAAAGTGAAGCTTCTTACATCATAAGAAGTTATAAGTGTATTGAACTGGGAGGCTTTTTTGAAGAAAAGCAATTCATTCGTGAAAACTACTGCATGCTTTATTCTTGATTCAGTTTTCACTTGTTCAATAGATGATAGGCTATTAAAAAAGAGAGGCATGGCTAGGAGTTCAAGAGAATTATCCAATTTAGAAATTCGCAATATTCTGTCGAATAAGCCTAGGATGGAGATCAATAAGAAGCTTAAAGAATAGATCATAATTTTTCTAACTTCATCTAAGAAGGAAAACATATGGAAAAAGAAGAAACAAACTTTGCCTATCTTTAGTTCTCTGGTTGATTTAGAACTGGAATTTAAGTCAATGAATATTCCTGATTCAGACTTTCATAATTTTTACAAGTATAAAATGTGGCAAATGGGTAGAAATTATACACTTGTCAAAATTATGAAAGTCCAAATCAAGAACCGTCATTGACTTAGCTTCTGGTTCAAAATCAATAGGAGCACTACATACAAACGAAGTTAGTTTCTTCTTTTCCACTTCTTTTTCCTTCTTAGATGAAGTTGGAGAAGTTGTGCTCCTTTCTTTAAGCTTCTTGCTGATCTCCATCATAACCGTATTAGTTAGCATATTGCAAATTTCTAAAATGGACAACTATCTTGAACACCTAGCCATGCATACCTTTTTATTAGCTTATCAACTTTTGAACAAGTGGGAACTGAATCAGGAACAAAACATGCATTAGTTTTAATGAACAAATTGCTTTTCTTCAGAAAAGCCTCCTAGTTCAGTGCACTCATAGATTCTTTTGGTGTAAGAAGTTTGACACCCTAAAGTAGAATATCCATGCTTATTGTCATACATCATTCTTTTGGTTCTATCAGACAACAACCTCCATGCTTCAAATATAATCTTACGCGCCCGTTGCCCCTTACATGTAGATTTTTATCTCAATGAAGAGTTTGAGAAATTCTTCTGTAATGTTTTTTTATTGTTTCACCATCAGCCAAAGACTCTACATAAAGGATACCGTGAAAATCCATTTCACCAGTAGTCTTCTTCTTATGATGAGCAAAATTAACATTGATAATCTCGATGAATTGAGAAATACCATCAAAGTCTGGAAATAAATTTTGAGGCTTCAAAGCAAATTTTTGAGCTCCAGTAACGTCCTTCTCAGTTAATTTTTGCTAAATTTTTTTTCTAGCCGTAACATCATCTTTACATTTCATTTGCTACAACTTTGAAAGGTAGAAATATAAGCAAACTTTACTATATCTCCCTCAAACTCAACCAACAAACGGAGAAACACTCGATGACCTAGTTATTGCATGAAGTTATTTACATAAATTGTGGAGAAAAACTATCTTTGACTCTTCGAACCCTAGAATACAATCATTACAAAAATGCACGTCACAAAACCTACAAACTTGAAAGGCGAAAATAATACATTCAAAGAAAAAAGGGTACTACTACATAGAAATACAAAGTAACAATGGCCAAAAACCTAAAGGCAAGTCAGATCAAGTGTGAAACTATAAATTTGATTATATTTGTTTTATGGATTTCATGAATTAATGTGCTATTTGGTTTCCACAAACACTAGAAAAGCACAGATATGAACCCATGAATGATTCTAAACTTTACGGAAACTAAACCTAACTAGTAAAAATATAAGGGTATTGATATAACATTGAAGAACTTACAATAGAGTCTAACATTATACCGTTCAATCTAATGAATTAATTGTATTAGACCTTTCTATATCTAATTGTGGTATTGTTCCATCCAAATGAAATAATTGCATATCACCTTCTAAATTTAACAATGTTTATTGAAAATCTCCACAGTTTTATTTAAATAAAACATATATATTTCATCATTTGGCCAAATGTAAAGGACTTCGAACAAATGGAATTAAGAACCGACAAAAGGGGATGTGCTTTCTTAAGATTGCCTATGGATTTCATAAGTTTCTTATTCAAAAAATTATAAACAAATTTCCCCTTTGATGGAAAAAAATTGAACTTCATGCCAAACTGTGGAGTGTTTAGGAAGCCTAAAACAAAACTAAATTGATGAGATGTTGAAATTAACATTCTCGGTAGAACAAAACTTAGTAACAACAAGATAAGGGCACTCATTCTAGACACAAAATAAATGTATCTTCCTTTTTGAAATAAGAATCATGAGAAACAAATAAATTGAATTATCGGCCTTTTGAAAACCTAAATTGTAATGGCGCGAAGAGCAATTCTCAACATAATTCAAGTTTCTTTGAGCAGATAAATAGTGACTGAATTTGTTATGAAACTACAAATGCATCTTGTTATTATCCTCGAGATAATTTTCTTGATTTTGTGTTTATTTCCATTTTCCCCTTTCCATATCTTGATGTTGTGTGTTTTAGTTGTTAGGATGGATGACATGCTTCTTGAGGTGGTCAGGAGAGCTTTTGGTGAGTTTTCCTCATTTTGGAGTTTTTATATGGAAATGGTTGACTTCGGGTAAACAAGCTTGGATGATATTTTTGTCAGCACAGTTAGTTCTGAAATGTCGAGTTTTCCTAGGTTGAGATTGGGTTGCTTGTTTGATTAGTTATTTTTGGTTGTTTTATTATATTGTGGACTTTGATCAACATTTAATTGAGACGGACTCCATTGGTCATTTCTTCGATTCAGTTGAGTTTGGAATGTTATTTCTGATTGGATAGCATATCTATTTTGCATTTGTTGAACCCCGATTGAATCTTGAGGCTGAGGGTCCATTCGGGACATGGAAAGTTTAGTGATAATTGCTGGTGCGACATCTCGTGATGCAATTGCTCCTATATATAAGGCTTGGCTCTTTTTGGTTATGCCGCTGCTGTGAAGAGTGAGAAGTGCCAGCGAAGGCTGCTAACTAAGCCTTTGGCCACTCCTAGGGGATTTGTCTACTCCAGTAACCCTGCATCCACAAGCCTTTTGCCATTCTAGTAAGCCCGCTCTTGTCAGCTTTGGTTGGATCCCATAGAGTTGGAGGTTAGTGTTGACCTCCACTCCAACGGATCCTTCTCTGCTTCAGTGATGCCACTCGAGCGACCATTGGTCCGTCGGGGTGCCGATCATTGAGTATTATATCTCTCTCTTATCTCATTTCTCTATGGTCAAATTTCTGTTGATGAGAGCTCGATCTTAGGTGTTAGAGATCATTTCTCAACCATTTCACTTGATTCAAAGGTAAATCTCTTTTTCTTTACTTTCTATTGCTTATTCT